CCCATCATCAGTCCTTCTTCACAACTCTACTCTGACTTTAGTTCAAAGGCGAAACTATCTCTTCATGCCAAGTGTCATCCCTTCTCCTTTCCTTCTTGCAGTGAATGTCTTCTCTGTTTCCCCAGCAGGGAGAGCTGATCTCAAAGCGTATCTGCTATTTCTGCTTCGATCTGGAAGTACCCAAGTCTGGTGGATACTTCCTGTTAACGTCTCTGGGATTCTTCACTCAATGTTGGCCCTTCCAACTTGAATTACAACAGGATTTCCCTGCCTTGAGTCTCTTTTCTCCGGCCTGTTGTCCAGTTCATCTTGATAAAGTATTATCAAATTCTTTTTGCCCTGCATTGACATCATCAGGAGCTTCCTGTGAAATATAGAATAGGAGGCCTGGTGGACCTTTGTTTAGCACTCTGCTACTATCCCAAAGGGTAGCAGCTCTGATACACCAGCCTCCTGGAGGGAGAAAAGACTTATCAATCCGCTCATTGTCCATCAACTCATCATCACACAACAAGAACACATGGAGAACAAAAGCCCATCTGACCTCAACATGTTCTTCCAACCTTGATCACACAGATTTACTTTGGCTATAGAAACACGTGTGCTGCATTACAAATTGGGCTGCTTACCATAAGGTCAGCAGTTCAGAACCACCAGCTGCTCTGCAGGAGAAAGAGGAGGCTGTCTACTCCCATAAAGAGTTTCTGTCTCAGGAACTCTGTAGGATCGCTATGAGTCAGAATTGACTCGATGACAGTGAGTTAGGCATCTGTCGATGACAGTGAGTTAGGCATCTGTCGGAGCTCTGGTGGGACGGTCACATACGTCTTGGACTGCTACCAGTAAAGCCAGTGGTTCAAACCCACCAGGCCCTTCAAGGGAGAACAATGAGTCTATCTGCTCCCATAAAGATGTGCAGCCTTGGAAACCCTTTATAGGGTCTTTGCTGAGTCAGAGTTGACCTGCTGGCCATAGGTTGGTGGTGACACGCATTGTTCCCACCTTTCCTTGCTCTTAGGACTTTGCTCACACCATTTCAGGGGTCCTTTCTTCTTTCCTCTTCAAATCATACCCAGTTTGCCAGCCCTGCTCAAGTCCCACCGCCGGCATGAATCCTTCTTGATGCTTCATACCTCATAATAATCTACTTTCCCAAGATAATTGCTAGTGATTGAACGTTTGAGGAATCAATGATCAATTATGCGCTAATGTTCTTTTGATATTGTGCCTAACTCTCTCCCATGAGCCCAGTGCTGCTGTGGGGTAGGCATTGGGCTGATAACCACAAGCAGTTCAAACCCACCAGCTCATCTTCAGATAATTATAAGGCTGTCTGTTCCCACAAAGAGTGACAGTCCCAGAAATCCCTCATAGGGTTGCTATGAATTCGGATCAACTCGATGACACTGGGTTTGCTCTCGCTGGGCAGTTAAGTCTGCCATGTTAGTTACATTTTACTGAGTTCTTGATCTCCTCTCTGTGTGGCCAGACTTCCAGTGTTACTTCAAGGCAGGGGATGTTATCTTCTCCATTGGTTTCCTTTAGCCCAGTGGGTCTCAACCTTGACATGTGGTACAGAAGCCTAGAGAACATGTTAAAGATCCTGTTTGGTTCGACACCCCAAAAAGTGTTCATTGTTGGGTACCCTTGATCTGTTCCAACTTCCAGTGACCCCATGGGGCAGAATAGAATTTCACTGTGGGGTTTCTAGGTTGGCATCTTCATGGATGCAGATCCTCAGGCAATGTATACCCACCTCCAGTTAGCAGCCACTGAGCACTCAAGTTTGCAGCCTTGGGGTGGTGGGGGTGGGGTGGGGTTTGGACTTCGACAAGCTCCAAGTGATGCTGCTGCTGCGCGCTGAGGTGCTCAGCCTCCCAACATCTCCTACTGCCCCTTCGTGAACACTACCATGGAAACGATGGCTGCTGCCTAGTTTCTGTTTTTATTTTCTTGTCCTGTATGCTGGGCTCACGTTCTGTTCGGTCTCTTCTTTTTAGATTGACTTCGAAGATGTAATTGCAGAGCCAGAAGGGACTCACAGTTTCGACGGCATCTGGAAGGCCAGCTTCACCACCTTCACTGTGACGAAATACTGGTTTTACCGTCTGCTCTCGGGCATCTTTGGCATCCCGATGGCACTCATCTGGGGCGTCTACTTTGCCATCCTCTCTTTCCTGCACATCTGGGCGGTCGTGCCATGCATCAAGAGCTTCCTGATCGAGATCCAGTGCATCAGCCGTGTCTATTCCATCTACGTCCACACCTTCTGCGACCCGCTCTTTGAGGCCATTGGCAAAATATTCAGCAACATCCGCATCAGCACGCAGAAAGAAATATGAGTGACATTTCGAGGATAGAAGTCTACCTATCCTTTTCCTTCCATTTCCTTGGTGCCGGTTTCAAGTTGCTTAGCACAGCAACTGTTTAAAAATGAACCTCTGGTTCAGAACCAAGAAGTCACATTCTCGGTTTTCATAACTATCATTTGTTTCTTCTGAGCTACGTTTTTTTTTTTTTTTTTTGACCCACCTGAATTTTTTTAAACCATTCGCCTTTTTGGCATTACCTTTCCATTTGCATATGAATTCTGGTTTTGGAAATGATAGGTTGAGAGAAATATGAAGAACGGAAAACAACAACAATAAAAACCAACCTCAACGGCCCACATTACAATGTTGATCATTTTTTCATAAGAGAAGAATCTTAGGTTACTGCTAAGGAGCACACTGTTGTGTGGGCAGATTTTTAACAGACTCTCCACGCAGCATCTGAAGAGTTAGTGGGTTGCCCCCATTCACTTTCACGACCCAATGGGATCTAAAGATCCTTATCACGTTAGCAACATAATCTTCCTCAGTCCTAGGAACCGACTCATGCCTTACCTGTCCTGAAAGTTTACCCTGTGAGGGATCTGTGCCTGAATACCCGTCACACAGAAAAGAACCCCAGTGCCTTCTTCTTTCTTACATTGTCCTTTTCAAACGGGGGCCAACTCATTAATCCGTCTCAGGTCAGCAGCTTTCCTGAAGACCAAAGTTAGACCTCCCATGGCCTGGCTCTCCAAGCTGGTTTCTGACTCTTGAAGCAGAGTCTGGTGAAGCCTCCCTGGGCCTGAACATCTTGATCTGTGTCAAACAGGGGCCACAGGAATAGCATGGCACGAAGTCAGGTGAAATGCAGGTGGATGAGTAGGGCTGAGCCCTCTCTGGCCTGCCTGGGGTAGAAGCCAACTTCCCCTACCTCTCATCCGCTGAATGAGATCAACATTCTGCTAAGCTTTGCTTATTTCTAGAATAACCACGCTTTCCTGAATCCAAACTAATCCATCACCAGGGTGGTTTAGTGGCTCAATATTGTGTGCCCTTTTTCCGCTGATCAGCGGGCCTCTGGGGAAGGGCTGTCAAAATGGAGGCCATTGTATGAGACCGTCCATTGTTGCAAACATAACCCCTTCAAAGCAAAGCGCTTGCAACCCGTCTGTTATGCTGTGACACATGGACTTAATCCAAACATCCCTCTTTTTAGAGCGAGGGGGGGGGGGCAGTAATAAAAGATTGAGGTAATTTTGCTGGAAGAAGTTCAAATTCTTCTGAACTCAAACTGAGGAATTTTACCTGTAAACCTGAGTCATACAGAAAACTGCCTTGTATACCCAAACGCATTTTTTAATTCCTCCTGTTTTTATTGTGATCCTGCCCTTGGGGGCATTGTTAAACCTGCAGTTTTGCTTTCATTTTTATTTTCATTTACATATTGGAACTTTGTGTAATTTGGGGCGGGGGGTGGGGGGCTACTTTCCATTTTCCTGGCACTTTAATTAGCAACTTTTAGCCTTTTTTTTTGCATTTAAGGCAGACACTGACATGGCCATAGTTTTACGTTTAAACTGTGTACATAACTGAAAATGTACTATATTACAGACTTTTAAAGTGTAAAGAGAGCTGTATCTTTCAGGAAGGAAAACTACTTTGGGAGTTGCTTGATTCAATCTGTAAACGGTATCCTGAGACATGCCTGTACCACCTAGATGCTTAGGCCCCGCCACACCCAACCACTGGTCCCAAAGACTGCTGATATGTTATACGCTTACTGATATATTTTGCACTTTCTTAATCCTGCATGTCCTATAAAGGCTACAAGTCTGCACAATAAAAAAGTTTAACAATTCAGCAGATTCAACGGTCCACTTTTTAAAGGTGTGTGTGTGTGTGTGTGTGTGTGTAGGACATTGGGAGGGGTAGGTTTTTTCCTTCTTCGTTCTTACGAAGTAAGTCATGTAGGCAGGGTCTTTCTGCTAAAGTAAGTTATGCACTACTGCAGGTCAAATCAAACTCGCTACTATCAGATTGATTCTGCCTCACAGTGAGCCGGTGGGACAGGACAGACCTGCCCCTGCAGATTTCCCAGACTGAAACCCTCATGCTCCTCCAGCCGTAGTTTCCGACGGCTGTCCTGGCTGCTAGCCACCCACTACCATGTCACCCACCAAGCCACCAGAGCTCCACCGCCCAGGCTTTGCTCTCTACTCCTTGCTTGAGGCCCAACAAGAAGGTGACCTGATTTTTTGGTAAAGCGGGACACCATGGATAAAACTCATATCCTGGCAAAATAGCCACATGGCAGGCAAAAACCGTATACCCTAGCTTGTCATGCATTCTTTCCAAAAATCGGGACTTTTTAAAAATGCTGCGGGACGCGGAGAAAAATTGTTAAAAATCGGGACTGTCCCACCCAAAGCGGGACTCTGATCACCTTTCCCAACAACCTTGGGTGATGAATAGTAACATTCCCGTTTGGTAAATGGCAATTTGCATTCAGGGAGGGTGTACTGAATGATGCCATGCCATGCCTCGCACCCACCACTTCCAAAGCCAATTCAGCCAAAGAAGTCATCTTCCAACCTCTCACCCTGAAGTCCCATTCCTGCAGTTTTGCAGAATGCCCCTTGGGGCTGCCACATAGTCTCTGAGGCTGCTCAGTTAGTAACTTGGTCTGGGATTTATGTTTGCCCAACAAGCCCACTTCTGGGACATGCCAGGGACGCATGCTTCTGATGAGGACCACACAAAAGGTCAGTGTCAGAAACCGTGAAGCAACAAGGATGTTTCCTTTGCTTTGATGGTTGGGGCTTCCAAGTCACTGTGTATTAACAAGATCAGGGCTTGACTCGTTTATACTTGGGTTCAGCCACACATAAAGCATCTCTATCTCTGGCTGCACAGGTCCGACAACTTTGTTCATGGCTTTGGGAGCTGTACACAGCTCCTGCTTTACACATTTAACTCAAAGGTGGTTACATAATTCTAAGCACTGGCTAGTGGACTGAGTCTCTGCTGAACTGCTGATAGTGAAATGTTCTAATTTTCCAATTGCAATCTGGTGTTGGAGAGGTGGTGTGGGGAGTAGTCCAGAAAGCCTCTTTAAGGTAGCACGAAAGGAGCCAAGCCCATCAAATAAGAGTTCATGGCTGTGAACTCAGGAAAATGTCGAACTTCTCTCTATCCACAACAGCAGAGACAAATACCAACTAACTGATAAGATGGTCGAAGAAAGTCTTGAACAGATAAATCCACAAGAAAAAAAGATGGTTATGCCAAGAAAAAGGGAAAAATCATGAAAAGTTTGTAAAAAGAAGTTCACAGCAAACCTATGAAAAAGTTCATTACTAATGGCGTCATAAAAAGTAAAAGAATGAAATTCCTTTTCACTTAGGAAAGTAGCAGTGATCAAGAGTCTGGCCCTGGAACCTGAGAGCGGAGCCGCAGTACCACAACCACAGACAGCGATCAGGTTAAAAAACGAAAACCATGCTTAATACTACGGTTAAACAAATCCAACCCTCTTTTACATATAAAACATGGTCATAAAACTTCTCACAGAATTATTCAGATTAGGGGGCTTAGATAGAAGTTTTTACAACATTTTAAAACGTTTCACCATAGTGTTTTTCAATTACAT